AGCCTCCCCAGCCAGCCGTGCGGCCTGCCCGAAGCACCGACACCCGCCGGGCACAGCAGCTCTCCCTTCTCTGACCCCCATCTCCACAGCCAAGCTGGCCCCGTTCCCCCTCGCTCCCCCGCTCTGGAGCTCGGCATGCTGGTTCCTTTGTCATTTTAAAGCCAGGAATGGGGAAGGCAAGTCTTCCCTCTGGCCCTCCCTCTGCTCCAGTCCCAGGGAGGGGGCACGGAGCAGCCACCAGCCCCTCGCTGTTGGCCCTGCTGTGCTGGCAGTGGCCGATGGCTGAGCCGCGTGAAGGCGGGGAGGGCGAGGGAGGGTCTCCCTTGCTCAGAGCTGTTTCGGGGCAGGCATTGCTCTCACTCGCCCGTGGTCCGGCAGCGTTTCCCAGCAGGCAGCTGCTTCACCTCTGGCGACTGGTGTTATTTCTGGTCTGGCTGGAGAAAGACAAGACGGGGATGCTGCACCCGTCCTCTGCTTGCCAGGAGCGGGATGCTGTGGCTCACGGCACCTGCTCTGCCCCTTCCCTTTGCCCCTGAAAGTCCAGCGGTGCCTCAGGGAGCAGGACCAGGCAGCACTGCCCTCGCAGGGGGGCTCCCAGGCGTGTGCTCAGGGAGGGCAGAAGAAGCGCAGACCTGCACCAGCTGCCTGGGACTAGGTGAGCATCTTGGTGGATGCTAAGGGAGACGTTAGAGTCAATTAATTACTTAAACTGTATTTTTTTTTTTCTTGAGTCATGACTTTTGTGCCAGCTTCAGATTCCTCTGGGCCTACCAGGATTTTGAAAGCTGCGTTGGCAGCAATTGGCGGTGTTATGCTTCGGCAGCAAGTGCCTTCCCAAGGCCTCTGTCTCTCGCTGGCGAGCAGGCAGGGAAGCCGTGGTCCTTCCTCCCAGTTCTGGGGCAACCACCTAAACTGGGTGGCTTAGACATACCCCAGCAGAGGAGACTGCCTGGTATCCTGTTTGGGTCCAGCACAGATCCTAATAAACCCCGTGCTCTCTTCTCTCCCCAGCTCAGCGCTGGACACGCTCTATGAGACATCCCAGCTCCAGCAGCCCGCAGCGTCCGCGAGCCGGTCGGTGACTTGGAGCAGGACAGTTTGTTACCGAGTGTAAGTGCCCGAATCCTTTGCACCGTCAGTGACAGCTATTGGAGAGCAGGGATTTCCCCTGCTCAAAGGACTTTATTCCTTTGTAAAAACACGCCTTTCATTGCTGCTTCAGCTGGGTGACTGCGGCGGGGGTGTCCGCAGGGGAAGCCGAGCTCTCACAGCTGCAGCAAAAATCTTCTTGTTGGGGCATGAACTCTTGCAGCACCAGCACTGTGGGCCCATAGTTTCAGGAGCTGCTCAAGTAGCTGCCAGCAGGGAACAAGCCACAGAGGAGACCATGTTATGCTCATTAAGTTACCGTGCCGCAAAGCCATGCCAAAAATCCGCTGGCAGCGTTACCAGCCACTGCTGAGACCTGCCGCTGCTTCCCGGCGTGCGGGATGCAGACAGATGGCTGCACCGTTGTGTCAGGGCCGGGGAAGCCGCGGTCAGGGTCTCTCAGCCCTTGGAGGACTCTCTGACCCGGGGAGTTAACTGCTGGAGGGACAGACGCCCTCCCACCCACGGCGCTGAGCATCCCCCAGGTCCCCTGCACAGCCCAGTGACACTTCGGCGGGCTCAGCCGTACCCGGGCAGAGCAGGGGCTCCCCAGCCCGCGCTGACCGGAGCCTCTCCCATGGCCCATCTCTAACTGGAGAAGGCACAGCTAACGAGGACTGGCAAATCGTCCCCTTGCTTGTGGCTTCTCCGCTTGCTTGGAAGTCCTCCAGGAGCAGAGGAATTAAAAGCGGGGGGTCCTTCCCGGGGCTGGGCGGCTCACGCAGGCGAACCCAAGCCTTGGCAGAGCGCGTCTTTCCCCAAAACATTAGTCAGTCCGTTAAAGCAGCAGGAAAAGAGCCTCCCTTGTCCCAGCCTCGGCTTCCCAGCCTCTCAGCTTCTGACATAACCAGATCACTC